AGCGGCCTGGAAGTGCAGAGATCGGGCCCCCAGTACATGTGGGACCCAGACACCCTCCCTCGCCTCTGTGCTCTTTATGCTGGACTCTCCCTCCTCCAGCAGCTGAGCAAGGCCTCCTAATTTGCCTTTTCCGTCTACCTTTGCTTCCCTAATGCCTTCCCAACCTCATGGTGCTGTGTCCTTAAGGGCATTTCAGAGCTATCAGCTGAAGACAACTGAAATCTTAGCTGGTCACCCAGGATAACCAATATTCACCTGCCCGACCATCTATCACCCTCTACCCCTCCAGCTCTGCAACCCATTAGCCCAACTGCTGATGCTTAAATTTTCTAGAAGAAGCACTCAGACTTTTAAAACTATGAGCTGTTTCAGCACAACTGAAAACAAAGATCAATTAATTAATTTTCTATCCTAATCCCCCTACTTATACTTCAAAAAAAAAACAACAAGCTTTACTGGAATTAATGGAAAATATTATGTCAATCTTAGGATGATATGTCTTCTGGTGTTTTTCTTTAAAGAATTGATCATACAGAAATTCTTAATTTGTGCCAGGAAAAGAAATGATTGTAGTACTGCACATAGATCATATGTACATGACTACTACTCTATACTGTCCTCAGGCTAGCTGGAAAATGCTCACAGGGTATATAGTGTGGAATCTAGATTCTTTTTTTTTTTTTTTCCTGTTCAATTAGTTTTCTTTCTCTTTTTTGAGACAGTCTCACTCTGTCGCCCAGGCTGGAGTGCAGTGGCACAATCTTGGCTCACTGCAACCTCCACCTCCCAAGTTCAAGCAATTCTCCTGCCTCAGCTTCCTGAGTAGCTGGGATTATAGGTGCAAGCCACCACGCCCGGCTAATTTTCGTATTTTTAGTAGAGACGGGGTTTCACCATGTTGGTCAGGCTGGTCTCGAACTCCTGACCTCATGATCCGCCTGTCTCGGCCTCCCAAAGTGCTGGGATTATAGGCGTGAGCCACCGTGCCTGGCCTCAATTAGTTTTCTTTAATGAAATTTAGATTCTAAAGTGAGAAGATATCAAAGCAGTTTGTCTTCAAAGAAGAGCATTTGGGGGTCCCCTAGCTCTGGGTTGAGGGAAAGACCAGAGATAGGTAGTAGAAGCCCAAAACAAAAATAAGACGAATTTCAAGTTTATTGAACAGATAATGCAGAAGGGCCTTTAAAAAAGGATGGGGGGGTAACCCAAGAATGAGACTAACTCAAAACTTAAAAACTAAATTTTGATATTGTTTCACTGTTCTCTGTTCTGCCCTGAAATTTAGGGTTCTTGTAGGAGGAAGTACTGTGGGTAGGCTTCGCATATGGACCTACTACTTACTAATATGGATATTACAGTCTCATCAAACTGCTGGGTTGATATTATCCTCCTCCACCTAAAAGCTGGGTCTGAACATCTTTCACCAACCTTTTTTTTTTTTTTTTTTTTGAGATGGAGTCTTGCTCTGTTGCCCAGGCCGGATGCAGTGGCGAGATCTCAGCTCACTGCAACCTCTGCCTCCTGAGTTCAAGCAATTCTTGGCCTCAGCCTCCCGAGTAGTTGGGATTATAGGCACACACCACCACGTTCGCTAATTTTTGTATTTATAGTAGAGACAGGGTTTCACCATGTTGGTCAGGCTGGTCTCAAACTCCTGACCTGATAGTCCGCCCGCCTTGGCATCCCAAAGTGCTGAGATTACAGGCATCCGGCCTACCAACCTCTTTAAAGCAGTTTTAGGACTGGACAGTGTCTCACACCTGTCATCCCAGCACTTTGGGAGGCCAGTGCAGGCAGATTGCTTGAATCCAGGAGTTTGAGACCAGCCTGGGAAACATGGCAAAACCCCATCACTATAAAATATACAAAAAATTAGCCAGGCATGTGGCATATATCTGCGGTCCCAGCTACTTGGGAGGCTGAGGTGGATCACTTGAGCCTGGGAGGCTGAGGCTGCAGTTAGCCAAGATAGAACCACAGCACTCCAGCCTGGGTGACAGAGCAAGATCCTGTCTCAAAAAGTAAAAATAGGCTGGGTGCGGTGGCTCAAGCCTGTAATCCCAGCACTTTGGGAGGCCAAGGCGGGTGGATCATGAGGTCAAGAGATCGAGACCATCCTGGTCAACATGGTGAAAACCCGTCTCTACTAAAAATACAAAAAATTAGCTGGACATGGTGGTGCGTGCCTGTAATCCCAGCTACTCAGGAGGCTGAGGCAGGAGAATTGCCTGAACCCAGGAGGCGGAGGTTGCAGTGAGCCGAGATCGTACCATTGCACTCCAGCCTGGGTAACAAGAGCGAAACTCCGTCTAAAAAAAAAAAAGTAAAAATAACTTTTAAAAAAGTAGTTTATGAGGCCGGGCGTGGTGGCTCATGCCTATAATCCCAGCACTTTGGGAGGCCGAGGCGGGTGGATCACGAGGTCAAGAGATCGAGACCATCCTGGTCAACAAGGTGAAACCCCATCTCTACTAAAAATACAAAAATTAGCTGGGCATGGTGGTGCACACCTGTAGTCCCAGCTACTCGGGAGGCTGAGGCAGGAGAATTGCTTGAACCCAGGAGGCAGTGGTTGCGGTGAGCTGAGAACCTGCCATTGCACTCCAGTCTGGGTAACAAGAGTGAAACTCCGTCTCAAAAAAAAAAAAGTAGTTTATGAGTGCAGCTCATGCCTATAATCCAGCATTTTGCAAGGCTGAGGCTTCGGATCACTTGAGGTCAGGAGTTTGAGACCAGCCTACCCAACATGGTGAAGCCTTGTCTCTACTAAAAATAAAAAAAAAATTGTTTTTAATAGCTGGACATGGTGGCTCGCACCTGTAGTCTCAGTTACTCAGGAGGAAGAGACAGGAGGATCGCTTGAACCCCAGAGTGGGAGGTTGCAGTGAGCCAAGATCATGCCACTGCACTCCAGCCTAGGCAAAAGAGCAAGATTCCATTAAAAAAAAAAAGTTTTGCGAGTGGAATAGTTTCTCTAAGGATTTTGGTCCCAGGAGTCAGACTCTCACCCAGCGTCTTAGCCGCCCCCTGCCCAGGCTGGTTCCCTCATCCACCAAGAATTCATGACCAACTGCCAGAAGCTTTGTGATATGACGCCATCCTCCACGATCCTGGGCACCTTCCAAAGCCTCACTCTATTGCTCATGGATATACCGGGTTGTTATGTGCTGACTTGGTTGTTTTCTCTGTGTGATGTAAACTTAATAGAGGTGAGCTAACACCCAAACTATCCAGAAGAGTAACTCCTTTGATTGCTAAGGATGAACATAACTCATCTGTTTTCTTTTTTACTGTTCGTACCCACCTTCAGTTGCAGATACAGTGTTATGAAGAAGAGGTTCTAATGAGTTTATTCCAATGATGATTCAAAACTCCTGTTATCCATCCCCCTCTAGCCCTGGAGGGTGAGAGGACAGTTGAGGAGGAACTGGTCAAGGCATGCTCCTTCAAACTAGAGCACGTATCTTTCTAGTTAGCAAGTGGCTGTTTAATGCAAGGAACATCCTGCAATCCTATGAAAGATATGAAAGAGGCTGGGCGCGGTGGCTCAAGCCTGTAATCCCAGCACTTTGGGAGGCCAAGGCAGGTGGATCACCTGAGGTCAGGAATTCGAGACCAGCCTGGCCAACATGGTGAAACCCCATCTTAAAAAAAAAAAAAAAAAAATATAACAGATACATAGCCTATCCTTTATATATGTAAAGGAGGAGGAGGTCAAAACATATTTCCTGCCTTCTGGGTCCTTACAAGGGCTAGATTGTCTTGCAGGGACCGACAAAGGTCTAAAACTCAGGACTTCCACTTATGGGAGAGAGAAAAGTTTCAAGACAGAGAGTTTGTGTTTTGTATCCTAAGAAACTGGGACCTGAATTTTCCACTTGGTTTCACCTTCCCTGCAGAACCAGTGGACGAGTCCTTTGAAAAATAATTGGGTAGGATTTCTGGTCCAATTTGCTTCCCCTTAGGTAAACCACTAAGTAAACCATCATTCTCTCCTTAGGCACACCATTATTCTGTTCCCCATTTCACAATGTCAGTCTGGATGTATAAAAGCTCTCGCCGGGCGCGGTGGCTCATGCCTGTAATCCCAACACTTTGGGAGGCTGAGGCGGGTGGATCATGAGGTCAAGAGATCAAGACCATCCTGGCCAACATGGTGAAACCCCGTCTCTACTAAAAATACAAAAATTAGCCGGGCGTTTGGCACACACCTGTAGTCCCAGCTACTCGGGAGGCTGAGGCGGAAGAATTGCTTGAACCCGGGAGGCGGAGGTTGCAGTGGGCCGAGACTGCGCCACTGTGCTCCAGCCCGGCGACAAAGCAAGACCCCGTCTCAAAAAAAAAAAAAAAAAGCCCTCTCAGTGGGCTCCCTAAAGCGCCTGCCTGCCAGTAGGAGCTCCCACCTTCTTTCCTCAACCCTCCCAATCCACCGCAGCCCAGAGCACAGTGTCTGGTTATCTCCCCGTATACTACATTCTTGAGCTGTTTTTCACACCCTACGTGCTAGTCCTGGGCCGTACATAGGGTAGACCCCCATATTTCATTAAACTGGAGTGATTCTACGAAATTGCACGCTCCCACCTATCGGTACTCCCAGCTTACAGAAATTGTATGCCTTATCTTCAGCACTAAACTAAAACCTAACCAAGGAAGTCCGGATCCCTAGGGTTCTTTCTACTCTCCAATTCGGTTTATCTAAGCCCAACAGCCCCTAGCTTCACGTTCTTCCTTCGCAGACTTCTTTCCCTCCCTCCCGCCGCAGGCAAGCGGCAGCCTTAGAAAACAAAACTTCGCGGATCTGGAAGTAGACCCCCGACCGCGGAAAACCAAGCAAACTTGGACGCAAAACCCGCCCGGCAACTCGTGACGTCATCTTGCCCCGCGCTCGGATAGGCTGTACCCACTCCACGCTGGTTGAGGGGTTCTTAAAGTCCTTTGTAACCCAGACTGGAGCCCAAGGGGACCTCTCGTGGACGCGGACAGAAATGCAGCCTGTGAGGAACATAAAAGCATCACATTTAAGCGCTCGAAAGAAAACCCCCAAGAACACATACAGGTTCCTCCCCGTTCCTTCCTCGAAGCTCCGCCTCCATCCTGCACCTCGGCTGTTGATTTATTTTCCCTTTGTTAACTCGGCCATCGGCCTGGCGGGCCTGGCGTTTCCCAGAAGGCCCAGCGCCGGGAAGGGATTTGTAGCTGCTCCGTCATCGTGCGGCCCGACGGTGGCCGGCGCTCGTGTGCAGGCCCGGGTCGGTTCCTGGTCCCCGGTGCGAGGGTTCACGCGAGGCCCTGGCCTTGGTCCCCGGACTAGGCCGCGACCCCGGGTGCCATGAAGCAGGAGGGCTCTGCGCGGCGCCGCGGCGCGGACAAGGCGAAACCGCCGCCGGGCGGAGGGGAACAAGAACCGCCACCGCCCCCGGCCCCCCAGGATGTGGAGATGAAAGAGGAGGCGGCGACGGGTGGCGGGTCAACGGGGGAGGCAGACGGCAAGACGGCGACGGCAGCGACTGAGCACTCCCAGCGAGAGCTGGATATCGTCACCTTGGAGGGTACGGGAGCCCAGGCCGGGAACGTGCAATGATCATGGGTGACAGCTACCCCTGTGATTCGGCTTCTCGCTGGGAAGCCAGAGCAGCCTCCACCACCCCTAGTTCCTTGGGATCATCCCCAGATACCTGCCCCCACTGTCCTGACACTCCCGACTCCAGGCCCAATGACTGAATCTTCTCTCCAAGGCTGGGAACCACTCCCCTCATATCCTGTCCGTCCCCATATCTGGGGTTGCGTCTATATCTAGGTCCCACTGGGCCTGGGGACTCCCTCTTCTAAGTCCTCCCCTTTCTAAGCTCTCCTATCTGACCTGTTCCACTTAAATCCCACGCGACTGATTTTCGCGCCCCCAGTATATGACTAATTGATCCCGCTAGAAACCAGTGTTTGTGTCTATGTGTGTAAACAGGTCCAGGATGACCTAGAATATTGGCTCCTGAGTTTTAAAACTGTGCAGAATATTTTTGTTGTCCTAGCTGCCTTTGGCAAACTCCCCAGCATGAACCATTTCGACCTGGTATCTTGTTTGCGATATTTCTCTAACTGAAGTGCCCCGGCAGTTCCCTTGCCCTCTCCTCCCTTCAGGCCCCTACTCCCGCTCTGTTTCTGAAGGGTTTAAATACACACACACTTAAAACTTTTCGGGTGTCATCTTTGTTTGGTTTTGTAATACTCACCTTTGACCTAAACTCCTATATACCAGTGTCTCCTATTTCTTTTCTCCAAGGTTTCTGTTTCGGGTATCTATAGTCCTCTTGTTCCTCCAAGTTCATGTTTTACTTTTTCAACTTAAAGCATCCTGTCTACATTTGAAGTGGGTCAAGTGAGAGCTTCCCACTGTGATCCTGATGCCGTTTTCCTGGTTCTGGATCAAGTGGGACCAGACTACTTACTAGGTTTTCTTTTCATTACATTGCATGAGAAACTAGCTCAAATACAGATTGAGATAAGCAAAGTTATCCTCCTGGGTGGTGCTTTGGAGGATGTGATGGTGTTGACTACATCAGCTCTTACTTTAAAGTTGAGCAACAGGATTAGTATCTAATAGAGATCCTTTTACCTACAGTAGTGACAACCAGTGTCAAAGGTGCCACTCAGCATTGCCCACTGGGCAGTGTTTATTACAGGCACTTCATTTTCTTGTTGTAAAGTAATTCATAGTCATTGCAGAAATTTTGGAATGTATGAAAAATTCAAACGGGGGGGGTCATGGGAAACATGGTCAACATTTTTTCTTAAGAATTTTTGAGCTGCTCTCCTATAATTGAAGGCAAGTTATATACCAGTATCCTAGCTGCCTTTGCTACATACAGTTTGTATCAAGGCATAACTAAATATAAGTTTTGAATTTTATGTGTTTTCATTAACATCCATAAACATAATCAGCATTCAGTTTATTCCAGAAACATTTATTGAACACCCAATTAGAGCAGAAGCTCTGGAATTAGTTCCCTCGTCTGTATGAATATGAGGAATAGTACAGTACTTTATTGGACTGTTGTGAATATTAGAATGCGTAAAACTGTGCCTATCACGTTGTTATATCATTGGCCTAGGTACTCTGTGCAAAGCGCTGAATAGACAGAAGTGCCTAAGAAACTACTCATTGATTGCATTCCCTTATTGCTTTGCATTTAAACTGTTTCTAGTTTCTTGCTATTATAAATAGCTTTGAAGCAATCATCTTTGTGCCCAACTTTAAAAATCTACTTTTATAATTATTTCTTCAGTACAGATTTCCAGAATCTACATGCCTGAGTTTAAAAGGCTGAGCGTTTTAAAGGTTTTTGATAGTTATTATCCAGAAAAACTGTACTGATTTACATTATATCAGGAGAAATGTACTTTTCACTGTACTCTATAATTTTTTTTTTAAACATTGGAGTCTTGCTCTGTTGCCCAGGCTGAAGTGCAGTGGCACAATCTCGGCTCACTGGAACCTCGGCCTCCCCAATTCGAGTGATTCGTCTGCCTCAAGCTTCCCAAGTAGCTGGGATTACAGGCGCCCGCCACCACACCCGGCTAATTTTTGTATATTTAGGAGAGCTGGGTTTCACAGTGCTGGCCAGGCTGGTCTCGAACTACTGACTTCAGGCAATTCGCCCACCTCAGCCTCCCAGAGTGCTGGGATTACAGGCATGAGCCACCGCACCCAGCCTATAATTTTTTTAATGTTACTAATTTGGTAGTTTAAAAATGTTTCCATTTGTGATTACTCAAATACTAATGAAATATAATTTTTGTCTGTAAGCAATTTTTCCTCCTTGTATGTTGGTTCGTCTCCATTTTTGTTTTGAAATTGTGACATTATAACTGTTATACCATTATATCTCTTAACCATTTATACAACTCTTTATAGAATAAAAATGAATCTTTGATCACATTTGTTGAAAATATTTTTCTTTTGTATATACAGTTATCCTAAAGGGTTTTTTAAATGAAGTCAGGCTTATTAATCTTTTGTGCCTATGTGATTTCTTACATTGTTTACATTTAGAAAGGCTTGTCCATTAAGATATGATAAATCTCCAGGTTTCTTTACTTTCTTGGTTTTTCTTCCTCTGTCATCCTCTACCCCATCCCCCATCCCTCCTGTATTTTTTTCTTTTTTGAGAAATGGGGTCTCACTGTGTTGCCCAGACTGGTTATGTCTTAAAATCAGTATGTGGCATCTGTAAATATTGTGTACCCCATTAGGGCAGAAAAGGTGATTAGTTGAATTTTGCCCCTTTGTGAGAGGCTCCTTAGAACCCCCTGCCTGGAGTGGTGGGGGACTAGGAGTCGAAGTGACATCGTTTTCTTCTCTGCTCCTCTTCAGACATCAAGGAGCACGTAAAACAGCTGGAAAAAGCTGTTTCAGGCAAGGAGCCGAGATTCGTGCTGCGGGCCCTGCGGATGCTGCCTTCCACATCGCGCCGCCTCAACCACTATGTTCTGTATAAGGCTGTTCAGGGCTTCTTCACTTCAAATAATGCCACTCGAGACTTCTTGCTCCCCTTCCTGGAAGAGGTGAGTGAGTCAGGCTAACTGAAAGGATGCAGGCCTGGCCTCAGACCCCCAGAAATATCATTTTCCACCCAGAAGTCCCATCTTACTACCTGCCGTAGCATGAGGAGTGAAGCCAAAGCAGCCCATTTTAATACTAATCTACCCAGTGATAAGGGAACCATCCTCTGCCCTGTAGTGTCATTCTTCCAGGTCAGGGGATCAGGACCCTACCAGTCAAACTCATTTCCTACTACTCTGCAACATGTGCCCTCTAGTTGAGGTTGAGTTGGGTGACCTCTTTGTTGTCCTAGGAGAGAGAAGGTGCTGCTGCCTCTTTCCTCTGAAGCTTCACTGTGGAGGAAACAGAACAGTGGTTAAGAGCACAGGTGTTAGGGCCGGGCACGGTAGCTAACATCTGTAATCCCAGCCCCTCTGGGAGGCTGGACTCAAATGATCTGCTGGCCCAGGAGTTCAAGACCAGCCTGGGTGACATGGTGAGACTCTGTCTCTGCAAAAAGTACAAAATGTAGCCAGGCGTGGTGACACCTGCCTGTAGTCCCAGCTACTCGGGAGGCCAAGGTGGGAGGATTGCTCGAATGCAGGAGGTGGAGATGGCAGTGAACCAGGAGTGCACTACTGCACTCTATCCTGGGTGACAGAGTGACCCCCCACCTCAAAAAACAAACACAGGTTTGAAAAGTAGAGTTGAATTTGTATCCAAACTCTGACAGTTAGTACCTGTGAGACTTGAGCAAGTGACTTCATCTTGCTGTGCTGCCTCATTTTCTTCATTTGTTAAATGTGATGAAGAGATGGGGGACAGGGGAGTATAAAGCTCCTAGAAGAGTGCCTGGCACGTTGTGAATGCAGACGAAGTCAGTTTGGTGGTGGTGGTGGCCTCCATGCCAGGAGAGCCCTTTCTTTATCCTTTGTAGCTGTAAAGTCTCCCTCGTGATTCATGGCATGCTCCAGGTGTCAGCCTTCTCAAATTCCATGGACCCTCCAGCACCTGCATTTCCTTAAAATCCTATATAGTTACAGTCAGTTCCATGGATGTGAAAACTCAGAAAATCCCTGGAGGCAGGGCAGTGAAGAGTTTCTTGTCTGTTAAAGGGGAAAAGGTACTCTTCCCCCCGCAACTCCACCTGGCATGTGTTCTGACCTTCACATCTCCAAACTCATAAAACATTATTTTGGGGAGCGACTGTGACACATTATTTCTTCCAGTGGCAATGACAAAATTGAAAATAAGTTTTGTGTATATGTTGACTTTCCCCAAATTTTCTTTGTTCCCACAAGAAACAGTTTTTTGGTCTCGTGATTCTTGATTTTCTTGATTGCATCTCTAGAATTATTTCATGAAGCCCTGTGTGGTAGTATTTGCAGTGGTTCCAGGTGTGGTGTTTTAATCTCTCTATTAGATTGGGCTCTTTGAATGTTCCTTACATTGCCCTTCATGTCCCCATTACGTGCTGTAAAGTTTATTATTCTCCTATAACACTTTATTGTGTTTATTAATATATTGCCAGCCTCCTTGACTTGTTCATTTTTTTGAGATGGAATCTTGCTCTGTCACCCAGGCTGAAGCACAGTGGCACAGTTATAGCCCAGTGCAGCCTCAAACTCTTGGGATCAAGCGATCCTCCTGCCTCAGCCTCCCAAGTAGTTGGGAACACAGGTGCATACCACCATGCTTGGATGGTTCTTTTTTTATTTTTTGAGAGATGGGGTCTCGCTGTGTTTCCCAGACTGGTCTCAAACTCCTGGCCTCAAGCAGTCTCCTGTCTCAGCCTCCCAGGTAGCTGACACTACCAGCATAAGCCACCACACCCAGCTCCTCCTTGATTTCTTTGGGAAAGACTATCATCTTTATTTTTTTATCCCTAGCACATAGCAAAATCTTGGCACATAGTAGGCACTCGATAAGTATGTTAAAATACATAGCAGATGCTTAATAAATTCTTGGTTACTTGATTTGACTGAGTTTTTCCATGTCCTCTCCTAGCCCATGGACACAGAGGCTGATTTACAGTTCCGTCCCCGCACAGGAAAAGCTGCGTCAGCGCCCCTTCTGCCTGAAGTGGAAGCCTATCTCCAGCTCCTCATGGTCATCTTCATGATGAACAGCAAGCGCTACAAAGAGGTATCCAGGATGCCATGAGAGTGGGTCACAAGCCCCAAGTGATACAAGGGGTTTGGCAGGGAGATCGTCCCTGGTGAAGAAATGGAAATAATCATTGAGATCTTAAGAACTGTCCCCCACACTCTTTCCCCATAGAGGCATGTGCTTACCCCACATCCGGGGAAAATCCATTCCTGCTCTGGGCACTGTGGGACAGGGCTTGCAGTGGTCATGCTGTACCAGTCAGTGGGTGATACCAGCGTATTACATTATTTGGGGAAAATAGGGGCATTTGGAGACAGAAGGACCTGGGTTCCAATCCCAGCTGTACCCTAGGCAAATTAATTTCTCCCAGCTGGCCAGGCACAGTGGCTCATGCCTGTAATCCCAACACTTTGGGAGACTGAGACAGGCGGATCACCTGAGGTTGAGAGTTCGAGACCAGCCTGACCAACATGGAGAAACCCCATCTCTACTAAAAATACAAAATTAGCTGGGCATGGTGGCACATGCCTGTAGTCCCAACTACTTGGGAGGGTAAGACAGGAGAATCACTTGAACCTGGGTGGCGGAGGTTGTGGTGAGCCGAGATTATGGCATTGCATTGCAGCCTGGGCAACAAGAGCCAAACTCTGTCTCAAAAAGAAAAAAAAATTTCTCCCCACTATATGTAAAACGGGGAAAATAGTACCTATCTTACAAGATGGTTAGCATTACCTAAAATAATTTTTTTGCAAATACTTAGCACGATGATCTGCACATGGTAAGCCTTCGTGATATTTTAGTAAATGGTGGCTGTGATTATGGACTAATAGCTCCATTTTGCATACTGCACTTCCTCCACTCCCCCAGCTGGGGCCAGCTGCTTTGTTCATCATGGCCGCTGTCACAGGAGCACACTCAAGAAATAAGTCCCACTCCTTAATTTCCTGTTTTTCTTTCCTTTCCTTACCGCACTATTTTTGGTGGGTGGGTAGGTAGTTGGGGGTTTTTTTGAGATCTCGCTTTGTTGCCCATGCTGGAGTGCAGTGGTGTAATCACAGTTCACTGCAGCCTTGACCTCCCCAGCTTAAGCGATCCTTCCACCTCAGCTTCTTAAGTAGCTGGGACTACAGTGTGTGCCACCACACCCAGCTAATTTTGTATTTTTTTGTAGAGACAGGATTTCGCCTTCTTGCCAAGGTGGTCTCCAACCCCTGGGCTCAAGTGATCCCCCGGCCTCGGCCTCCCAAAGTGCTAGGTTTGTAGGCATGAGCCCCTGCACCTGCCTACTGTTTTGTTTTTATGGGCGATGGGGTCGTGCTATGTTACCCAAGCTGGTCTTGAACTCCTGGACTCACATAGTCCTTCCACCTCAGCCTCTCATGTAGCTGGGATTACAGGAGAGGCACGTGGCACTGTACTTGGCTGTTTGTTTTTGGGATATAATTCACCCCTTTAAAGTATACAATTTAGTGGGTTTCGATATATTCACAAAGTTGTATATTCATCATCCCTAATTCCAGAACATTTTCATCATCCCAAAAAGAAACACCATACCTGTTAGTAGTCACTTTTCATTTCCCCTTACCCAGCCAGCCCCCAGCAACTACTGATCTGCGCTGTGTCTCTGTTGAGGATTTGTTCACTCTGGACATTTCACGTAAATTTAATTACACACGATGTGTCCTTTGTCTCTGGCTTTCTTCACTAAGCATCATGTTTTCAAGGTTGATCCATGTTACAGTGTATGTCAGTACTTCATTCCTTCTCAAGGCTGAGTAATATTCCATCATGTGGATAGGCCACATTTTGTTTATCTGTTCATCAGCTGATGAGCACTTGGGTTATTTCTACTTTTTGGTTATTATGAATAATGCTTCTGTGAACATTTGTGTACATGCTTTTATGTGAACATAAGTTTCCAGTTCTCTTGGCTGCATATCTAGGATGGGAATTGCTGGCTCAAATGATAACTCCATGTTTATCCTTTTGAGGAACTACCACTTGATTCTCTTTTGGCTTCCCCAGGCACAGAAGATCTCTGATGACCTGATGCAAAAGATCAGTACTCAGAATCGCCGGGCCCTAGACCTTGTGGCCGCAAAATGTTACTATTATCACGCCCGGGTCTATGAGTTCCTGGACAAGCTGGATGTGGTGCGCAGGTACAGGCGACCAAGGGTCTCACTTGGGGCCCTCAGGGTCAGAGACTTGGTCAGTCACAGGCACACAGCTGTGGACCTGCAGAGGGCAATGAACCGGTAGATGTAAGCAGGAAAGAGGGGCAATGGTTCTCATGCCCTGCACCACGTGAGGGGTGTGGGAGAGAGACTGATGCTAGATGAAGAAGTAAGTCACTGCTGGGCTGTCCTCAGCTTCTTCCCTTCACCCCACATCAAGGTAGGACTGAGGGTGGGTTAGGGGTGGAGGAACAGGCTAGAAAACATTTTACTTCTTTGTTCAAAACCTGGAGTGGCTTCCCATTTCCCTCAAGGAAAGGCAGAGTCCTTACAATAACTCATAAGGCCCAATATGCTCTGCTCCATTTTGACCTTATAGATGTCACCTCCTCTTGCTCCTCAGCCCCACTGGCCTGCCTGGTATGCCCAGCATGCTCTTCCTCAGAGCCTTTGCACTGCCTGCCCCCTCTGTCCAGAACACTCTCCTCCCCGCCTCCTTCAAGCCTTCACTTAATCGATCCCTTCTCAGTGAGTCCTGCCTTGGCCAAGCTATTTATCTGGGGTTGTTTTTTGTTTTTTTTTTTGGTTTTTTTTTTTTTTAGATGTCTTGCTCTGTTGCCAGGCTGGAGTGCAGTGGCATGATCTCGGTTCACTGCAGCCTCTGTCCCCTGGGGTTCAAGTGATTGTCCTTGCCTCAGCCTCCCAAGTAGCTGGGATTACAGGCGCACACTACCGTGCCCGGCTAATTTTTTTTGTATTTTTAGTAGAGATGGGGTTTCACCATGTTGGCCAGGATGGTCTCGATCTTGGCCAAGCTATTTGAAAGCACAGCACATCTTTCTCACCTCCTGCATTCCCCGTTGCAGTTCCCCTGACTTCACAGCCATCCTGTCTTCTGCTGCACTGCACGATGTCCTTTCTCATGCTCATTGTCTCCCCCACTGCATTCCCTAAGGGCTGGATTTTGTCTTTTTCGCCCATCCAGAATAGTGCTACACACCTCAGGCAGTCAATAGTTAAATATTCAGCGAATAACCAGAAAAGCAATTTGTATAACTTTTTTTTTTCTTTTTTATGAGACAGACTCTCACTCTCTCGTCAGGCTGGAGTGCAGTGGCGCAATCTCAGCTCACTGTAACCTCCGCCTCCTAGATTCAAGTGATTCTCGTGCCACTACACCCAGCCAGTTTTTGTATTTTTAGTAGAGACGGGGTTTCACCATGCTAGCCAGGATGGTCTCAATCTCCTGACCTCGCGATCCACCCGCCTTGGCCTCCCAAAGTGCTGGGATTACAGGTGTGAGCCACCATGCTCGGCCAACTTTTTTAAGAAGTTGAGAGAGAGTGAAGGGTCAGAGCCAGTTCAAAGAGTTGTGATTTGAAGGCTTTGACATCTTTTTTCTTTCCTCCTTGAAGCTTCTTGCATGCTCGGCTCCGGACAGCAACACTTCGGCATGACGCAGACGGCCAGGCCACCCTACTGAACCTCCTGCTGCGGAATTACCTCCACTACAGCCTGTACGACCAGGCTGAGAAACTGGTGTCCAAGTCTGTGTTCCCTGAGCAGGCCAACAACAATGAGTGGGCCAGGTACCTCTACTACACAGGTGAGCAGAGGGGCCCAACCCACAAATCAGGTGTCTCAGGCCTGCTTGGTGTAAATTTTCCAAGGGGTGGTACATAAGAGGACCATTTGGCACTCTGGCTTTCCCGGGGGGTTGGATAACCCCATTCTGTTGACCAAGTCTGCTCTCTTCCACTCCCAGGGCGAATCAAAGCCATACAGCTGGAGTACTCAGAGGCCCGGAGAACAATGACCAATGCCCTTCGCAAGGCCCCTCAGCACACAGCTGTCGGCTTCAAACAGACGGTAAACCAGAGCCACCATTATCTCTTTGCCTCTTTTTTTTTTAAATTGAGTTGATGTCTCACTATGTTGCTCAGGCTGGTTTTGAACTCCTGGGCTCAAGCAGTCCTCTCGCCTCTGTCTCCCTAAGTGCTGGGATTGCAAGTGTGAGCCGCCATGTCTGCAAAAGGTTGCTTCACATCTATTTGTGGGTATGAAAAAGCAGACACCACCTGCACCTCTGGCAGTTGATGTTCAGTGTCTTCCTTGCAGCTGGGTTTAGATTATTCCTGATTCCCCAGCACTTCTGACAGTCATTCCAGGCATGGATCTAGATTGTGTTGATTAAAAAAACCGGGTTCTTACCTGGTCCATGTTCACATTTGGAAACTGTATTGTCTGTGGCCTAGGAACCCAGAATAGCTCCGTAGGCTGACTGGCTCAGTAAAGATAAAACTTGGCCACTTAAGAGCTGTCAGTCACCAAGTATTTTTTTAAGCATCAAGCTTGGTATTAGGTACTGTAAAGGATAGGAAGGGAGGATAAGTGCTCTTTCTCTCTCACTCTCTCTTTCTCTCTCTCTTTCTTTCACTTTTTTGAGATGGAGTCTTCCAGGCTGGAGTGCAGTGATGCAGTCTTGGCTCCCTGCAACCTCCACTTCCTGAGTTCAAGCATTTCTTCTGCCTCAGCCTCCTGAGTAGCTGGGCAGGTGCCTGTCACCACACCCAACTAATTTTTGTTTTTTGTGGGTTTTTTTTTTTTTTTTAAGATGGAGTCTTTCTCTGTTGCCCAGGCTGGAGTGCAGTGGTGCCATCTTTGCAACCTTTGCCTTTGGAGTTCAAAGGATTCTCCTACCTCAGCCTTCCAAGTAGCTGGGATTACAGGCACCCGCCACCATGCCCAGCTAATTTTTATATTTTTAATAGAGATGGTGTTTCACCATGTTGGCCAGGCTGATCTCGAACTCCTGACCTTAGGTGATCCACCCACCTCGCCCTCCCAAAGTGCTGGGATTACAGGCATGAACCACCATGCTCAGTTTGTATTTCTTTCTCTCATTTTCTTTTCTTTTCTTTCTTTTTTTTTGGCAGAATCTTGCTCCAATGCCCAGTCTGGAGTGCAGTGGCGTGATCATGGCTCACTGCAGCCTCAACTTTCAGGGCTAAGATGATTCTCCTATCTCAGCCTCCCAAGTAGCTGGGACTACAGGCGTGTACCATCACACCTGGCTAATTTTTTGTAGAGACAGAGTTTTGCCAGGCTGATCTCCAACTCCTGGGCTCAAGGGATCCACCCACTTGGGCCTCCCAAAGTGCTGGGATTACAGATGTGAGCACCGCATCCTGCCAATATATGGTATTTCTTTTTTTTTTTTTTTGAGACAGAGTTTTGCTCTGTCACCCAGGCCGGAGTGCAATGGCACAGTCTCGGCTCACTGTAACCTACACCTCCCAGGTTCAAGCGATTCTCCTGCCTCAGCCTCCCAAGTAGCTGGGATTACGGGCATGCGCCACCATGTCTGGCTAATTTTGCATTTTTAGTAGAGATGGGATTTCACCATGTTGGTCAGGCTGGTCTCAAACTCCTGCTCTCAGATGATCTGCCTGCCTTGGCTTCCCAGAGTGCTGGGATTACAGGCTTGAGCCATCGTGCCCAGCTGGTCTCTCTTTCCTTCTTTTTTTTTTTTTTTTTTTTTTATTTGAGACAGAGTCTTGCTCTGTCACCCAGGCTGGAGTGCAGTGGCATGATCTCAGCTCACTGCAACCTTCGCCTCCTGGGTTCGAGCAGTTCTCCTGCCTCAGCCTCCTGAGTAACTTGGATTGAAGATGCATGCTACCACGTCCAGCTGATATTTGTATTTTTAGTAGAGACAGGGTTTCACTATGTTGGCCAGGCTGGTCTTGAACTCCTGACCTCATGATCTGCCTGCTCCAGCCTCCCAAAGTACTGGGATTATAGGCATGAGCCATCATGCCTGGCAAGGTATTTCTTATTACAGTATTTCAAATAGATAAAAAATGTTGACTCAAAAGCTTGAAGGGTATATGTGAAGTCAGAGCCCAGCAGCCAGGATGTAGACCCAGTCTTCCCAAATTCAAACCTTTGCTCTTACCTTCACACAATTACAGGTGTGAGCCACCGCACCCCACGCCTCTGTTGCTTCCATGTGAGACAGCCTAAGAGAAAGTGCTTTGTGCGGCTCTTTGAGTCTCCCGAGGGTACAGAGGAGCTCAAGTGGACAGCTTTCACTTTCCTCAAGGTACCGGGGACGTGGGCGGGACAGAGCCAGTCTAGGAATGGTTCTCAGGAAGAGCCGCGGCACCCTGGACCTCTGCCCTGTGTTTCTCCCTGCAGGTGCTGGGCCCAGCCTGCCAGGTATCCCAGTGCAAGTTCCCATTTCATTTTCTCTGAAAGTGCCAGGGCTATATTTAACCCATTTGGCAAACTCTGTTGTTTCCTGCCACAGAGGTGCAGTTTAGCTTGGTCCTCAGACAGATTGGTGCGGGGCAGTGAGGGGAGCCAGGGAAAGGGGCCCCAGTCCTCCTTGAAGCTGGGGATCTACTTTTACTTATGGCATTTTTTTCTGTTGAGTGAGCAGAGGTGCAGGGTCCCTGTGTCCTGTGCCTAGGCCTGGGGGCTTGGTTTTCTGGAAAAGAGTCAACTTGTGGTCAGGCACCTGGGTGTGTTGAATCCCCACCACGATCCTGCGTGAAACACAGAATTCCCATTTGACAGATGAGGAAACTGTAGCTTAGAGAGGCTGGGAGCTAGGCCAGTGTTGTACAGGTTGGTTGATCTCCAAGCCTCATTTTCCTGACCTGTAAGATGAAGATAACCTTTGTCCACCCTGCAGGGGAGCTGGGGAACTGACCCCTCAGATTCCCTCCAGCCAGGGCTGCGCCTTGCCTCTAGCTGGGCCCAGAGTGTGGGGCAGAATGTGGGAACATCCTCTGTAAGCTGGAGTAGCTGTAGTATGGGCCTCTGTGACCGTGTGTGTGTGTGTGTACACGCGTGTATGCACACATGCTGACAGCTGTGTCTATAGACTCCAGGAAGAGGGCAGGGTCATCCAGAGAGCCCAGATGCTGACTCCCCGGCCCTCGTTCTCTCCGTAGAGGGCCATCTGCGTGCGCAGCCACTCCATGGAGACCATGGTGGGCGGCCAGAAGAAGTCACACGGAGGAGGCATCCCCGGCAGCTTCAGCAGCGGCATCTCCCACAACAGCATGGAGGTCACCAAGACCACCTTCTCGGTGAGTGGCCCTGGGGCAGCAGGTGGGTCCCAGGGAGGCCCCCCGAGACCAATGAAGGAAGGGTGCCCCCACCCAGGCTTGGGCAGGTGACTTGATCAGGGCAAGCTGGATGATGGAGGGAAACTGAAGCTGCTAGGGGATGACTCTGGGCCCTGACCTCTGAAAATGGTCCTTTGGTGCCTCCATCCTAGACAGCACCTGCAGTTGGCCGCAACAGCCTGAGAAGCCCTCCTGTCCTATGTGCTGAGTTTCCTTGACAGCTAGACTCCTCCTCAGGGCCAGCCCTGCAAAATGGTCCTGAGGTGTGTTTCGCTGCGCAGGGCCTTGGGACCCGTGACTGTGAGGGGGTGTCCTTGCTTTGTTATTACTGGTGCCAGCAGTAGCTGCCCCAGCTGGATCCAAAGTCTATGCTCTTCATCACCATGTGCACAGTTCCCAAGGAAAGAGGGTGCTGTAGGCCTGTGAGTTTGATCCTGATGGACTTGCAGGGGCTGGGGGGTTGGAGGGGATCACATAGTTGGGTCTTTCATAAAGCAAAGTGGGCTGGGCGCGGTGGCTCACACCTGAAATTCTGGTACTTTTGGAGGCTGAGGAGAGCGGATCCCTTGAGTCCAAAAATTCGAGACCAGCCTCGGCAACAAAGTGAGACCCGGTGTCTACAAAACAACACAAAAATTAGCTGAGCATGGTGTCACACACCTATAGTCTTAGCGACTTGGGAGGCTAAGGTGGGAGGATCACCTCTACCTAAGGAGGTCGAGGCTCTAGTGAGCTGTGACTGGACCACTGCACTCCAGCCTGGGTGTCAGAGCGAGACCCTCTCAAAAACAAATTAACTAAAGCAAAGTGGCTTTGGATTTGTATAGACTGGGATTTTCCTTTCTTCTTTTTCTTCAAAATAGCAGAACCTACTCACCATGGTACTAATTATGAGTATTATAAATGGCCTTGCATAATTAATTTAACTGAGTAAATGTTTTCCTAGCTATTATGCTGTTACCCCTGAGGGTGCGTGGAGTGAGCAGGGCAGGGCCCTTCCTCCATGCTGTGTATCAGGAGACTCGGGCCGGGTCTCACCACTCTCCTGAGGTTGCATAGCATGTACATGGCAGGAGCTGGGGCCTGGGTTGGAGGCTTGGTGGCCTCTGAAGATTGGTTCCGGCCTCTTGTCTGCCTTCCTCAAGTTCCCACCACGCGTTGTCCACTGTGAGGCCGGGGGAAACTGTCCAGAGCAGAAGCCATCTGGCTGCCCCCAGCCACCTGCCAGTGCCTGTGGACCCGGCCTCACGGCTCTCAGTCTCATTACTGTGACACCTGCTGGGCCCCGTTTGTTGTGAGGAATGAAGGAGAGTCAGGAGGCCTCACCTGCCAGTGATTTGCTGGATGACCTTGATGCAATCTCACTCTTTGGTCTTCAGCCTCCTCACCGGTAAAATGAGAGGTTGAACAAGGTCCCTCCGGGGTTTCCCTGGCTCTGTGCCTCTTGGTCTGTATCCCTCTGAATTGTTCTGACCTTCTTAGTGTCTGGGGCTCCCTCAACCCGTGTTCCTCCCAAGGTGTGGGTTTTTTTTTTTTGTTTTTTTTTTTGAGACAAGGTCTTTTTTTTTGCCCAGGCTGGAGTCCAGTGGTATGATCTCAGCTCACTGCAACCTCTGCCTCCTGGGTTCAATTGATCCTCCTGCCTCAGCCTCCTGAGTAGGTGGGATCACAGGCACCTGCTACCACACCCAGTTAATTTTTGTATTTTTAGTAGACAGGGTTTCGCCATGTTAGCCAGGCTGGTCTCAAACTCCTGACCTCGTGATCCACCCACCTCAGCTTTCCAAAGTGCTGGGGTGA